TCCTCATTCGAGCCTTGCAAGGAACCTCACAGCTGGTTGGCTGACTTAATGCACAAAGGCCTTTAGAAGCCAAATCTCACCATGACTTCCCGCAGCCATATTTTTCGATCGACAAAACAGCTGGCTACAACTGGAAGGGGGTATGGAGGTAGTGGCAGATCTAACGTAATGACCACACCCATGCTTGCCGTAATGGGCGTTGGAGGAGACCATCAACTGACCTCCATCTGACTTCGTGCAACAGTCGAGACGGATTTTGGGAGGCGGTATGCAGGTACAACAAAGAAGGAAAAGATGCGACCTCTGGAGCAAGAAATATAGTGGCTTGACGTTTCGGATTCTCACCCGCACTCATCATGAGAGACAGTCGCCGATGAGGATGACGGGGGTGCCAGGGGTACAGTACTTATAGGATGCAGTAACCATACGGCCGTGTGCTTGCTCCACTAGCAAATCCAGCATTCATCGCTGGTGGTCGTACCTGACGCGATGATTGCTCGTTAGTCCCTAGGACAAACCATCTCTGGCTTATGCCTGTCATGCAATCTTTGACTCGGTCTAGGCCTACAGCAGAAAGGTAGCCAACTTTAATGGTTCATGCAAGTTGCTCAAGGAATCCTACTTGCGCAGGTAACTACCCGCAAAGTTTATGTTTTGGATAATACCTTTTTAATGTAAGGCTTTTAGTTGTTAGTTCGAGCTCGGCAATGCAAAATACCACAGAGGACGGGTGAAATTTAATGTAAGTATAACTCTTTCGCGTTCTTACGCCAGTTTACAACAGCTCCTGGGATTTGCTCTAATGCAAAGTTTCAGAAAGTATTCAAGGACAGCCGGAACCTGTCGATCAAGCGTGATTTATGAAATTATGACACCTCGGCTCAACTCCAACCGATTTTCTTGCTCCTCCTCCATCCAGCCCGTCCCACAGTCTCTGTCCTCGACTATCATTCCATCAGTTTGAATATTTAGATCTCATTTTATTCCATTTTTGCGGTTAGTTTTTTATGTCAGCCTCAGCTTGTTGATTGTGAAGCAGTCGAAATGCGGAAAAACACCTAGAAGTCAAAAGACTTTCGTCGCCTATTTTCACAGGGGTTCCTTTCACATTTGCCGATAACGCCGTTACGTTAGCTCCACCTCGGCCCATATATTCCTATCAGCTTTCGGACTGAGCTTGTCAGGCCTAATTCCGACTGATTTATTTCAATTAAGCGGTTGATGAAAAAGAAGCAATTTATCATCTGGAGTACTTGCCAATAAGTACACGCGGAACGCTGGGGGTAGGCACTGATGAATCAACCCCCCCC